GAGCCCAACAGGTCGAGGCTGCGGTGGCCGGGAGCGGCCACTGCACTCCAGTCTGGGTGACAGAGTGAGACTCAAAAAATATATATATATAAACTTTTCTCATACTTTAAATATGAAAATAGTTACACAATTAAGTTCATTACCTTTATTTCACCTCTTATTAAGGCTTATTAATTCTTTAAATTAACATCTATTTGACTTTAATTGCTGAACACGATGGCCCACACCTATAATCCCAGCACTTTGGGAGGCAGAGGTGAGAGGATTGCCTGAGCCTGTGGCTTTGAGACCAGCCTGGGCAACTTGGCAAGAGCTCTTTTCTACAATAAATCAAAAAATTAGCCAGGCATGGTGGCACATGCCTGTGGTTCCAGCTTACTTGAAAGACTAAGGTGGAAGGTTCACCTGAGTCCAACAGGTCAAGGCTACAGTGGCCCTGAGCGTGCCACTGTATTCAAGCCAGGGTGACAGAGTAAGACTCCAACTAAAAAAAAAAAACAACTACTTTAATAATTGGTATCTAAGTAAATGTTTACATTTTCCCACTTGTGCCTGAATAATATTAATGATAGAGTATTGACTGGGTGCAGTGGCTCAAGCCTACAATCCCAGCACTTTGGGAGGCCGAGGTGAAGGGATTGCCTGAGCCCATGGGTTCAAGAACAGCCTGGACAACTTGGCAAGACCTCATCTCTACAGTAAATAAAAAAATTAACTAGACGTGGTAACACACACCTGTAGTTCCAGCTACTTGGAAGGCTGAGGTGGAAGGATTGCCTGAGCCCAGTGAGTCAATGCTGGGGTGACTGTGAGCATGCCACTGCACTCCAGCCTGGGCAATGGAGTGAGACTCCAACTCCAACTCCAAAAAAGAGAGAGAGAGAGAGAGAGAGAGAGAATGGGATAGACACCAGGAACTGGCTGCTGTATTAGTCAGGGTTCTCCAGAGAGACAGAACCAATAGAATAGGTACAGATATAGATATATGAGAGAAGATTTGTTAGGGGAATTGACTCATGCAATAATGAAGACTGAGAAGCCCCACAACAGGTCATCTGTAAGCTGGAGACCTTGGAGTGCTGGTTTCCTGACTCAGTCTAAGTTTGAAAGTCCTTCAGAGTCAGGAAGGCTGACTGTGTAACTCTCAGTCTTAGGCCAAAGGCCTAATGAGCCACTAGTGTTAGCCCTGGAGTCCTAAGGTCAGAGAGCCTGGAATGCTGATGTCCAGGGGCAGGCAGAGGAGAGTGTCCCAGCTCCAGGAGAGAGAGAGGAAATCCTTTTCTCTCCTTTTTTGCTCTATGTGGGGCCCCAGCCAATTGGATGGTATCAGCCCACATTGAAGGTAGATCTTTTTTACTCAGTCCAAGTCACATGCCAGTCTCCTCTGGAAGCACGTGCACAGATGCCCAGGAAGAATGCTTTGCCAGTTCTCTTAAGTATTCTGTAATCCAGTCTAGTTGACACCTAAAATCAACCATCACAGCTGCCCCTTGGATTTGATTAAATAACGTATTGTTAAGATTGCTTTCCAACACAGGAAACATAGCAAGACCTTGTCTCTACAAAAAACAAAAAAATTAGCTGGATGTAGTGGCATGCACCTATAGTCCCAGCTACTCAGGAAGCTAAGGTGAAAGGATTACCTGAGCCCAGAAAGTCGAGGCTGTGGTGAACTGTGATCATGCCATGGCCCTCCAGCCTGGGCAACAGAGTGAGACTTCAACTAAAAAAAATAGAGAGAGAGAGAAAGAAAAAGAAAAGATTGGTTGGATCACTTCTGAGGTTTCTGGGGGTTCATATGTTATAAAAGTTACCCCCTTTAATCCACTCCAGTAAAATACCCTGTTGGCAAATATAAGGTAAGTGATGTGATTTCACAGAATTACCTATTAATAAGTAATGGCCATGAATTATATGAATTTCAGTGACATAAGAAAATGCAAAGGAAGGATCTATTTATTGAATTTATAAATGAAATACTATTTTAGGAACTATTTCAATAGGAAATAAAACTCTTTTGAGTGAAAATGTGGCTTGGATCTGTTTCAGATTGTGGACATTTTCATGGAAAACAATCTAATTCAGCAATGTACTTCCTTCTTGTTGGATGCATTGAAGAATAATCGCCCAGCTGAGGGTCACCTCCAGACGCGACTGTTGGAGATGAACCTGATTCATGCACCCCAGGCAAGTGACCTTTTCAGGCTAACACCAGGGAGCAGAGCACTGGGGGTACCTCTGTGTGGACCTGCACACTGAGCAAAGTGGCTTTGAGTTTTTTGGAAGTCATGGTACAAGACTTTCGTGGAAACAGTTACAATTGGAATATCATTTCTTCCTTCTCTTTTTCACTATAGTAAAATACACATAACAGATTACCATTTTAACAATTTTAGGTGTGTGATACAGTGGCATTAAGAACATTCACAATATTGTGCAACCATCATCACTATGTATTTCCAGAACTTTTTATCATCCCAAACCATAACTATGTACCCACTAAGCAATAGCTCCCCATTCCCATCTCCATCCCGAGCCCCTGGCAACCGCTTTTCTATTCACTCTGTCTATGAATTTTCCTATTCTAGATATTTCATATAAATAGAATAATAAAATATATGTCCTTTTGTCTGGCTTTTTTTCTTTTCTTTTTTTTTTTTCTTTTGAGTTGGAGTCTCACTCTATCACCCAGACTGGAGTGCAGTGCCGCTCCCGACCACTGCAGCCTCGACCTGCTGGGCTCTGGCGATCCTTCCGCCTCAGCCTTGCGAGTAGCCGGAATTACAGGCATGCGCTACCACGCCTGGCTGAGTTTTTTGATTTATTGTAGAGATGAGGTCTCGCTACCCAGGCAGGTCTCGAACCCGCGGGCTCAGGCAATCCACTCACCTCAGCCTCCCAAAGAGCAGGATTACAGGATGAGCCACTGAGCCCAGCTGTCTGGCTTTTTTTCACCTAGCATATTATCTCAAGATTAATCCATGTTGTATATGTTTGAAATTCCTTCATGTTTAAGACTGAATAATATCCCATCACATGTATATACTACATTTTGTTTATCCATTCATTCAGATGTCATTGGATATGTGTGTTGCTTCCACCTCTTAGCTATTGTGAATAGTGCTACTGTGAACATAGGAATACAAATATCTCAAGACCCTGCTTTCAATTATTTTGTGTACATCCCCTGAAGTTGAATTGCTGGATTATATCATATGGTAATTCTATGTTTAATTTTTTGAAGAACCACCAAACTATATTCCAAAAGGCTGCACCATTTTATATTCTCACCAGCGATGCTCAAGGGTTTCAATTTCTTTCTTTTTTTTGATTCAGAGCCTTACTCTGTTGCCCAGGTTGAAGTGCAGTAGCATGGTCACCGCTACTGCAGCCTTGACCTTTTGGGCTCAGGCCACCTTTGCCTCAGCCTTCCAAGTAGCTGGAACTACAGGTATGCACCATTGCACCCGGGCTAATTTTTTTTATTTATTGTAGAGACTAGGTCACATTAAGTTGCCCAGGCTGGTCTTGAATCTCTGGGCTCAGGCAATCCAATTTCTCTGTATTCTTTTTTTAAGTCAGAGTCTCTGTCACCCAAGCTAGAGTACAGTGGCATGCTCATGGCCACCCCACTGTCAACCTGCTGGGCTCAGGCAATCCTGCAGCCTCAGCCTTCCAAGTAGCTAGGACTACAGGTGTGCACTACCATGCCCAGCTAATTTCTTGGTATATTATAGAGATGAGGTCTCACCAAGTTGCCCAGGCTGGTCTCGAACACCTGGACTCAGGCAATCCTCTCACCTTGGCCTCCCAAAGTGCTGGGATCTATATTCTTACCAACATTTATTTTCCCTTAAAGATAGCCATCTTAATGAGTGTGCAATTGCATTGCATTGAACCCGTGGGCTCAGGCAATCCTCTCACTGCAACCTCCCAAAGTGCTAGGATTACGGGCTTGATGGGTTAAATTTTAATACACACACATACACACACACACACACACACATACACATATATACACATATACATATATATGTATACACATTTTTGCAAGTTGGGAATTTAGAGGAATTTATATCAAGTTCTTCACAAGGATTGTCTGTGTGGATAAGACTAGAAATTCACTTTGTTTTTATCTGCCTTTTAGTTTGTTTTTTCTTCAATAATCACATATTGTTTTTGTAATCAGGAAACAACATGTTAGAATAAACATCTGTTTATTCAAATCTACAAGTTAGCTGCTGGTAAGTGTATCATATTCCACCTCTAGGAAATAAAAGTGCTATTAATTTGCTGTTTGGGATACTATTGAACTCGCATGACTTGGTGATTATATATAATCGTTTTTAGTGAATGAGGTTTGAAACAGAAACCAAGCACCATTCAGCAACTTAGCAGACAGTCCCTAAGGAGCCCCAGACCCCAGAGGGAGGAACTTAGATGGGCATGCAGCTGTGCCAGGTGCTGACAGGCTCCAGGCACAGCGAATCAAAATGTGGGTCAGTCTTCTCTGGATGATGGGGATTGGATGATGTTTTCTAAGTTCTCTAAAGTACACTGTTGCTATAATTAGGGGGACATGTTTAAAAGCAAGAGGATAGTGGATAATAAGGATCTGAAGGAAACAAAGAACAGATGAAGCAGGTAAATGCCAGATGCTTTGACGTTCTGCTCCCCGGACTTGGTTTGGATCATTAACTCTCTGGGGATCCTGTGTGCTCTATTGCAGTACAGTGTTCAGCTATGGCTGTATTTGACCAGGACTGCATTTGTTTGGTGAGGCAGGTCCTGCAAGGAAAGGGAAGGAGTGTGCGGGCAGCACAAGAAGCCCTCCAGGTGTGCGGCTCGTCAAGACTAGCTGCTGGGTAGATATTGAGGGGAAGAGCACTCAGCCAGGTAGCATGGTTGCTCTGTTGAGCCATCTAGTCCTAGCCCAGAAATTACTTACTTAAAAATCATGTTATTTTCATTAAAATTCTTTCCATTGGTTTTTATTGCTTTTCACATGCAACCCCCACCTCCTAATTCTGCATTTAACCTAGTAGAGAAATCGAGTAAACTTAAGTAGGATTTGTTATTTTCAGGTCTGATTCTGATTGTTGCTAGTCTGAGGGCTGCACTCCTCAGGGCAGGGTTTGGTAGACTTCAGCCTTCATGCTGATTCTGCCATAGAAACCCTGTAAGAATGTGATCACAGAAAAGCTGCAACAATGACCTGGACTCATCACAGTAATAGCACTTTTTAGTGCTTCAGCTGGATGCTGTGGCTACATGGGCCAGGCCCAGCTCTGTAACATGGGAGTATGGAGCCTTGCACAAAGGACCTCAGACAACTTAAGGGACAGCCAGGACTCTGCTCAGAACCGCAAGCGCTGCTGCCTTGCAAATGTGGATGTAGCCAGGGCCCACAAGCACTGGTTCCCAAGCTGTTTCCCACCCTGGGGCACAGTTGAACAACTATTCTTAAAAAGTTACTGCCACTGATCCTTTTGTAATTCATAAGCGTGATGATTGGGTTTTCGTGCCCTTGTGTGAGAGGCACCTCCCTCTAACCTTGTTACAATGTCAGTGCATTACCCATCAGGAAAGAAAAAATAAGTTACTGCCACTGATTAGGCTTTCTGACTAAACTCACTGTTTCACAGGTTGCAGATGCCATCCTTGGAAATCAGATGTTTACTCATTACGATCGAACCCATATCGCCCAGCTCTGTGAGAAGGCTGGCCTCCTGCAGCAGGCACTGGAGCACTACACTGACCTCTATGACATCAAGAGGGCTGTGGGCCACACTCACCTCTTCAATCCCGAGGTATGGTGTGCAAAGGCTGATGTCTCTGCAATCATTAGTGTCAAATGCTCCCGAATGTCTACCTGTTACGATTGTAGGACCATGGAGTGAGCCTGTTAACAGCCCTGACCTACCATACTTTGCTACCAGAAGCAGTACTAGTTCAGCCATGCACAAACATCACCTGCCCAGCAGCATATCTGGACCCTGTATCCCCTTTCTAATGTCCACCTTTGACTTAACCTAACAGCAGGAATAACAATAACCTTTTAACATTGACAACCTAGCGGGGCTATCTGAAATCATTAACAAAAACTAAAATATTGTGTTCCAGTTTACAGAATAGGTTAACTGTATCAACTGTGGAATGTTCCAGGATGGACAGTTTAGGGCAGTGTCTTATCTCAAGTTTAATCCCTGCTCCCACTTTACCCCATAATGGATAGTTGCTTTACAGTCCTTTTTGGTAGAAATTCTCTATATTTTTGATACTCGGGGAATGGGGAAATGGCCTAGCTATTTTCCAAGTATTAGTGATATTTCAGGTCATGCATAGTTGCGAACAGACTCTTCCTTGTTTCCAGTGGCTTGTGAATTTCTTTGGCTCCTTGTCGGTGGAGGATTCTGTGGAGTGTCTGCGTGCCATGCTATCTGCTAACATCAGACAGAACCTTCAGCTGTGTGTGCAGATTGCCTCTAAGTACCACGAGCAGCTGGGCACACAAGTCCTGGTAGAGCTCTTTGAATCTTTCAAGAGTTATGAAGGTAAAACTGTGCAGTCTCTGGCTGACACCATCATGTGACTGCACCTCCTTTCTTGGGTGTTACTGTCCACTTGCCTCACTTAAAATGCTACCAGCAAAGCCTGACAAGATGCAGCACTCACAGCCTTAGGTATTCAGTCGATGGTAGAATATTACTGCTATCTCAAGTGCATTGCTCAGCTTTAGTAACCTTGGTATTTCCAAAGGAAGAAATCAAGTTGGTTGGTGTTGGAATGGGAGATTTAGAATCCCCATGGAGCCCTGTGAGTCTACGTAGCACAGTCTGGCCAGATCTAGCCTAAAATCCTCTGCAAGTGGCCCTGGGTACCAGCAAAAGGGCCTGGTGTCTGGTCTGCACAGCTCTGAGAGGGCAGTTCGTTTGTCTTCACCTAAGTGAGAACCCACCATGGAAGGTCCATCGCTTTGGGGTGTCTACTACCCAGTTGATTACTGGCGCTAATGAGGCTGACCTGGTTGCCTTTCATTGCCCTTCTGTGAGCAGCACACCAAAAAAGTGCTGTGGAATGGGAGGATGGCTTTGGGGACAGGTGGAGGGGGCCATCTGGCCTGCCCAGGATAGAGACTGAGTTTTGTCCACTGCTGTGTGCCCAGTGAGGCTGAGTCATTGGAGGAGGGTAGGACAAGGCCCTGCCCTCAGGAGCTGGTCTTCTTTTCAGAAGACACCATTGTAGAAAAGGCTGTAGCAGAAGATTGGGTGGAGCTGGGTGGGAGATAGCAGTAGAATAGGGTTGGTGGGGAACTGTTGGCTTTGGGGCTTCCCATTTTGTTCCCATCATCAAAGTCTCCTCAGTACAGCTGAATACTTCAACAGGAGAGTGGCCTACCCTGATGTTTCCTATTACTTTTACTGGTCTCTTCTGGCTAGCCCCTGTAGTGTTGAGGAATATGATTAGCCTTTGTGAATGACATCCTCTGACTCATGCTGGGTCTCACTGCATGGTACCCACTTCTCCATCAGCTCTGGCTTAGTCTCAGGCTTCTCGAGTGGAGGCTCCTCTTGGAGGCCCTGGCTTGTTTCTCCATCCCTGTTTTGCCTTTTTAAAGCAGCAGTCCCACAGCCCTCTCAGCTTCCCTTGGTGAGAATTTTTCTTAAAGATGACCGTCTAGGTGTACCTGGGCCCCCAGAAGGAACTCCACATACATCCATAACCAGTTTTTTATATCAGAACTTCCCAAGTATACCTCCCAAATGTGGTAGAAATATGACTAGCTGTTTTTGGGAGATGCCAAAGCAGACAAACTTCATGTAGATCATGAGTTCTGAGTAGGCTATGAATACCTGGAGAGTGAAGCTAGGTCATCATGGCTGGGTCATCAAGGGAAGGTGGGCAGCAGCTACAGAAAAGGCAAGTGGATGTCCTGAGGGCAGAAGTACAACAGTCTCTTTTCACAGGCCTCTTCTACTTCCTGGGCTCAATCGTGAACTTCAGCCAAGATCCAGACGTGCATTTGAAATACGTTCAGGCTGCCTGTAAGACGGGGCAGATCAAGGAGGTGGAGAGGATATGCCGAGAGAGCAACTGCTACAACCCGGAGCATGTGAAGAACTTCCTGAAGGTGCGTCCAGACACCCCCTCCCACAGATAGCTCTCACTTATGGCAGGTAGGACAGTCCATCCATAGGACTTTCTAAGCAACAGAAAGCTGAATCTGTCTCATCAGGGCTCCCTTAGTCCCCAGTGACAGATCTTCACTTTATGGCTTAAAGTTCTTAGAGGAACCCAGCTATTGTTTTAAGCCTCCTTTGTGGAAAGAAGCTTGAGGCTGCTCTCGTAACTATGTGGTGTATGAGTGGAGGGAGTTAGCTTATTGCTGCATTGGAATTCAGCAACATGCCAACTGTGTCCCTGTCGATTAGGCAAGACAAGGCTGCACTAGTGGCATGAAGAACGAGAAGCCTGCTTTTTTCTCATGTGACAGTCTTGGGTGGCTGTGGAAGTAAGTGGGTAGCTTTCCTTTCCCACCACCCTTCAAAGACCAGGCTGGGGGCTGATTGCCATCTTCAACACGTCACCCGGAATGTTGCCTTCCCATTCAGCTGGAAGAGCACAGAGGAATCAACATGGGTGAGGCCTGCAAGTGGCAGATGACACTTGATTCACATTCCCTTAGAGGAGCGAGGTCAAGTGGCCACACTTAAAATCTCAAGGTAATTTGTGAAATATAATCTAGGTGTTGGTCCATACAAGGAGAGGCCTATGGATTTCCTACCCAAGTACCATCATTGTCAGGAAACTGGTGTCTGAGTGTGTTTCCATAGCTTGTGACTGTTTGTCTGAAAAGGCAACCTTTATCTCAGGTGTTCTGTCCTTGAGATGGACTGGTCATATCAGGTTTACACATAATGAGCTGCATGTCTTAACCCAAAAGATATTTTTGTCTAGCTGTAGAATGCTGTTGCCAAATTTAGCACTCAATAATGAAATAGTATTATCATTCCCCAATTTGTTTCCAAAAGCAAACACTATATCCTAAAATGACAGCATATCTAGAACAAAGTCTCATTCTGTGTCTTTGTGGGTCATTTTGCTGCAGGGCAGTGCCATCTCATGCTGGATCATGAGCCCAGGGTTCTGGCTTTGTGGTATCCCTGCTCCCTAACATGTTCTGTGCATTCTAACCCTTAGGAGGCCAAGCTAACAGACCAGCTTCCCCTCATCATCGTGTGTGATCGGTTTGACTTTGTCCATGACCTTGTCTTGTATTTATACCACAACAACCTGCAGAAGTACATTGAAATCTACGTTCAGAAGGTACTGCTGGTTTGGTCGCTTCTGGTTCCCCATGGTAACACCTGGCCATCTTTGCACCTCAGTGAGTGGTAATAGTCTACACCTGAGAGGCTGCCTCTGGCTCCTGAACTCTTCACGGTTTGAAGGGTGACATATTAGTCCATTCAGGCTGCCAGAGTAGAATGCCACAGACCAGATTACTTAAACAACAGAAATTTATTTCTCACAATTCTGGAGGCTGGAAGTCCAAGATCAAGGAACTGACAGGGTTGGTTTCTGGTGAGGACTCTTTTCCAGGCTTATAGACAACCCTTGCCCCATTAACTACATAGTATTCTCTTTCTCCCATTTGTTTCCCAAAGCAAACAATGCATCCCAAAATGGCAGTATATTTAGAACAAAGTCTCATTCTGAGTCTCCTGTGGGTCACTTTGCTGCAGGGCAGTGCCATCCCATGCTGGGTCATGAGCCATGCTGTGTCCTCACATGGCCAGTTCTCTGCATGTGTCTCTTTCTTTTCATATAAGGACACTAGTCCTATTGGATTAGTGTCACCCTCAATACTAATTAACTCCTTAAATGCCCTCTCTCCAAATTGGGGGTTAGGGCTTTAACATCAAGCCTAAACAGGAGCCCTTTCAAGGTTTTACCCATGGTCCAAGTGGGGGGCATCTAGCAGTGATCTGTGTTTGCAGCACTGAAGTTGTTATCTTAATCCCTCTAGGTCAACCCTAGCCGGACCCCAGCTGTGATTGGAGGGCTGCTTGATGTGGATTGTTCTGAGGAAGTGATTAAAAACTTAATCATGGTGGTGAGAGGACAGTTCTCGACTGACGAGCTAGTGGCTGAAGTAGAAAAAAGAAATAGGTAAAGTGTCCTTACTTGATGTCTTCTCTTGTCTCTGGGTTCTAGTGCCTGTTGGTAAGTTTCTCCAAGATGGCTTCATGGTTGGCCTCCATCCCTAGGACTGTCTCAGTGGCTGGTCCTTCATATACACATCTTAGATCTAGGAATGAGTTATTTGCTATTGGTATTGAAGACCTTGGGGAGAAACTTAGCAATTGAATTCAGGTTGAAAGCCAGGTCTGTCCTGATCCCTAGAGCAACCTGAAGTTTTATTTATTTATTTATTTATTTGTGTCAGAGTCTTACTCTGTCACCTAGGCTAGAGTACAGTGGCGTACTCACAGCCACCGCAGCCTTGACCTGCTGGGCTCAGGCAGTCCTACCATCTCAGCCTTCCAAGTAGCTGGAACCACAGGCATGTGCCACCACACCTGGCTAATTTCTTGATTTATTGTAGAGACGAGGTCTCGCCAAGATGTTCAGGCTGGTCTCAAATCCCTGGACAATCTGTTTGCCTCTGCCTCCCAAAGTGCTGGGATTACAGGCATGAGCCACCATGCCCAGCTGGAGTGAGTTTTTTTGTCTCAAGAAGCAACCCTCAGAGCCATGGAGTTGCGCTAGAGATTTCCAATGGTAAGCTTTTTACAGTACCTTCCTTCTTTCAAAGGCTCAAGTTGCTGCTTCCCTGGCTGGAGTCCCGGATTCATGAAGGCTGTGAAGAGCCTTCCACTCACAATGCCATTGCCAAAATCTACATCGACAGCAACAGCAGCCCTGAGCGCTTCCTGAGAGAGAACGCCTACTATGACAGCAGCGTGGTGGGCCAGTACTGTGAGAAGCGAGACCCTCATCTGGCTTATGTTGCCTATGAGCGGGGCCAGTGTGACCTTGAACTCATCAAGGTGGGCGCAGATACACTTAGCTGCTAGTGCTGCCCTGGCCTCATGGAGCAGGGCTTCGAATGTGTGCCTGTTGGGGCTGATCAGGGCTTTCTCTGCCTGGAGATGGCGGGTCAGGAGGTGCATTCTGTAGACTTTATTTCCTTGTGATTCTGATACCTTTTTGGGACCTCTTCATTCCACTTGTAGTCTTGTATCTGTAGACTTAGTTGGCCTTGAATCTGACCTGTCACCCCTCTGCTTACAGTCCTCAGTTGTACCTGGTAACTTGAGGGCAAAATTGAACTCCTTAACCTGACCTGTGAGCTCCTTTATAGACCACTACCTCCCCCAGTCCTGACACCCAATCTGAAGTGACTTGCAATTCCTTGGGTGCCTTCTGTCCTGAGTGTACTTGTACTTTCTGTTCCCTTTTTAGGGCAGCCCCTATATAAGCCCTGTTCCATCTTTCTGACTGACCTAGCTCTTGCTGGTCCCTCCTTGAAACATTTGCCCAGGTCTCCTGTCTATGTCTGCCCAGGCTTGGATCTACATGTGCATAATTACATTTTTAGATAGACTCATATGAAATCTTGATACTTAACTATTTGACCTAAAAATACAGAAATCAGCAGGGTGCCTGTGTGACTGACACCAGGCTAGCCTGTCCTGTCCTTTGCTGTGCTATATGGGCTGCCTGTGTTGCATCCACAGATACATGTGCACATCACTCAACCTTGTGCCTGGCATCTGGTACTCGATGGATGTGATTCTCACCAGGACTTAGAAAATGCTGCACACACTGGAACACTCCAGTGGATAGTTGGTGTTTTAGAGATCTATTATAACATTCAGAAAAGGGTCTCAAGATTAGTCAGTGAAAGCATATTTTAAGGTTTTTAAGCTTTGAAATGTTGCAGTATATGTGCTGCTTTTTACCGGTACTAAATTATTCTGGTACCACTTTAGAGATGGTTTAAAACAAGCTACATATGAGTACTTAAATTTAAGTTAATTAAGTTAAAATTATAAATTTAGTTCCTTAGTCACACACCACATTTTCAAGCACTCAGTGGCCTCCTGTGAATGGTGGTGGGTGCCTCAGCATAAGATAGAGGGTGTGTCCATCACTGTGAAAGTCCCACTATCCAGGGCTGTGACACATCCCTATGAGGTGCTATCAGCTAAGAAATGGACATTTTGAGGTAGTTTGTCTCTCTGGGGAGTGCATTTTTTGTTTTGTTTTGTTTTTGAAAAAGAGATGAGGTCTTGCTATGTTGCCCAGGCTGGTCTCGAACTCCTAGGCTTAAATAATCTTCCCGCCTCAGCCTCCCAGAGAGCTAGGATTACAGGTGTGAGCTACTGCACCCAACCGGAGTGCATTGTTAAGCTGCTCATCCCATGTCACAGCATAGCATCCCACATGGAATTTAGGTGGCCACCAACAAGTGTCAAGGACAGAGGGAACTAACTGGGGTATGTCCTTGTCCCAAGTAGCTTATGCTGGTTGACTACTGTGTTACCTACACAAATGTGTTCATTTCAGGTTTGCAATGAAAATTCTCTGTTCAAAAGTGAAGCCCGTTACCTTGTGCACAGGAAGGATCCAGAGCTCTGGGCTCTTGTCCTTGAGGAGACCAACCCATCCAGGAGACAGTTGATTGACCAGGTGAGGCACCGAGATGGGTGTGTCTGCACGCCTGCATGTTGCCCTCTAGTCATCACATGACTCAAGTGACTGGTTTGTTACATCTGAAACATCTAACCAACTTTATGAGCCTTCTCCCCTGCAGAAATAGCTTCTCTATAGATGCCTTGATCCTCAAGGGTGTGCCGACTTGGAGTTATTTATTGACTAAGGGCATAGAGTTGGCCCTTGAATCTAAGGCAGTGATATGCTGCCTCATAAGAGTACCCCATGGCATGCCTGCATGCTGAGTCCTTGATTGTTTTCTAGCTCAGCCCCTGTTGACAGAAGTTAAGTGGTTTTCAAGGCTGCCTCAGCCGACTTCGTTTGTCGAGGAGCCCTTTGTGCCTTGTGACTCTGCAGCATGTCATTGGAGCTGGAGTGCAGTGCTGGGACCAGCAGTGGTTACTAGGCAAGGCCTGGCAGGTGGGAGTCTGCCTCAATCTCTGGACAGGCTTCCTGCAGCTCTGTGGAATAATAGCCTGCCCTCCTGTCTCAACCCTGCAGATCTTAGCAGATAGTGCCTCCATTGTACTCAGACTGTCCCCTAGACTGTGGGCATACTGTTTAGGGTGGGCCGAAACCAGTGCAGGAACAAATCCCGGTCCAGCAAGTGGTCTCAGCCCTGAGCATATGCACTTCCAGAAAAGGAAGCATATGATTTATTAATGCTTTCACCTCCCTCAAACACCCTGCCAACCTGCTGGGCTGATGCTGTTAGATTCAAGGACTGCATTTCACCTTTTTCTCTACTGATTTCATCTTCTTGTTTTATGTCCCCTATTCCCTCAAGCCTCAATCTTTATTATGTTCAATTTAGACTTATCCATCCAAATTTGATAAAAACATTTAACAAGGGGCCAGGACAGAGGCTGTTTAGATTCTAGTAGGCATCTACCTCCAAGTTCACAGGTATCAGACACACTCAGGTATAGTCCAGCCACCTGGCGCACCTTGAAGGTACCTTGCGTTGGCGCTGGGGAATGGCACTTTGACACTGCACTGAGCAAAAGTCCATCGTGCCTTTTGTCTTCCTGCTTCTATGTGGAGGTCTGATCATTATGTCCACTGTAATTGGATGTCTGTAGCTGTCTCCTGGTGGGACACTCAACTGCAATGCCCCTTTAATTGGGAGTGTGTAATGACAGAGCATACTGCCTTTAGTGTCTGAAGTAGACCCTTATTATGGAAAGCTTACTAAGGAATAAGGAAGCAGTGACCTGAGGTAACTCAAAGTTCAGCATCCTGTATTGATTCAACTAGATGGTGGGAGTTTATTTCTGTCCTTAAAACAACATGTATTTACTTAGACTGTTGTAAGATTTTTAAGAATTGACAATTAGATATCACTGTTACAACTGTACCTCCTCCTTTGGATGGACTCCATGTGCTGTGTCACAGTTCCCCTTTCCCTCAGGTGCACCATTTTGGTCACTGAGCTACTGTTATGGCTCCTTTTCTCTAATTCTTCTACCTGCCTATTGTGATTGCTATAAGCCCCACAGAGGTAGAACTTTTTCATTTTACGGTGCCGTTGAGTCACAGAGGCCACTGGAAAGGTGGACTGGGCTGACTTTGACCCTGGGATCTGTCAAGGTCCCTCAAGATCGTGTGGTGAAAGTTCACGACCAGAGGTATATGTCAGCTGTATAAGCCCTCCTATAGCTGTCTGTTCCCTCTCCTGATACTCTGCTGTTACCCACCTTTGAGGAACACCAGAAACTTGTTTAAAATGATAGATTCCTGCAGATCCCTGCAGTAGTCACTGCAGATCCCTGGCACAAAGTACAAAGAGAACACTGCTGATCTTCCAAACTGCCGTCATTTGGGAAACATACTCTTTGGAAAATTGTCCTTCCACCCCATTTGTAAGTGAGTTAAATGAGACACCTGTCATTGGATGAGGGGTGGCGTGGCCAGTCTTTGGCTGGTCCTTCCTTCAGTATATGGTTCTGAGTGACTTCTGAGGCTCAGTAGCTCTGCTTGTGTGGACTATGCCCCAGCTTTGGTAGTGCACTTTGCTGGTAAGAAGCTGCCAGAGGCCCCTGCTACATCTTCGTTAAAGAAATGGAGCCATATTTGCCGTGAATAGTGACTTTAAGAAACAAATATAAAAGCAGGCATGTACTTAAATTCCTATTTAATATACCATGTTATTACCTTTGGAATAAATATAGACTATATGGTCACTGGAGCAGAGGTAAGAATCTGTAGCCTATTTAACATAAGAGAAAAACTAATTGCCAAAAATAAAGCAAACTGTGAGAATCCCCTGAAATTGACAGTCTTGAATTTTATTTTAGTTGAGTTCTTTCAAATGCTTTTTAAAACCAGGTGGTACAAACAGCATTGTCAGAAACACAGGACCCTGAAGAGATTTCCGTTGCTGTCAAATCCTTTATGACAGCCGACCTGCCTAACGAGCTAATTGAGCTGCTGGAGAAGATTGTTCTGGATAACTCTGTCTTCAGTGAGCACAGGTGAGACAATGTCAGGGATAGCTGTGGACTGAATCAGATTCAAACATCTGCGTGACTTTCACCTTGTTACAATCTCAACTTGCTTCACCATCCAGCCTCCCCATCAGCTATTTCCCAGACATGTCCTGGTCTTCTCACCACCTCTTCTGTCTCAGTCCAGACCTTCCCTTATCTTACTCATCTCCTGCCTATCTTTTACAGCTCAGCCTAAATTTTGAAGAAGTCTGAGCTTTAAGTGTACCCATCAGTCCCACCTGTTCACATTGCACCTGATAGGTGATTTTTCATCCCCCTCCTCTTCTAGGTCCATTATACCATTCTCTGTGTCCTTGTAGATCCCTTGCTTAGCACTCACTTATAAGTAAAAACATGTAGTATTTGGTTTTCTCTTTCTGTTAGTTCATTCACTTAGGATGGTGTTCTCCAGTTCTATCCAAGTTGCTGAAAAAGACATTATTTCATTTTTTTTGACAACTGAATAGTATTCCATAGTGTATATATACCACATTTTCATTATCCACTGATTAGTTGTTGGGTATTTATGTTGATTCCACATCTTTGCAATTGTGAATTGTGCTGCAATGAACATGGAAGTACAGGTGTCTTTTTTATATAATAACCTCTGTTCTTTTGGGTAGATACCTAATAGTGAGATTGCTGGCTCAAATGGTGAATCCACTTTTAGTTCTTTAAGAAATCTCTATTCTGATTGCCATAAAGGTTGTACTAATTTGCACTCCAACCAACAGTGTATAAGTGTTCCTTTTTTACTGCATCCACACCAGCATCTAGTGTGTGTGTGTGTGTGTGTGTGTGTTTAATAATGGCCATTCTGACTGGTATAAGGTGTTATCTCACTGTGGTTTTAATTTGCATTTCCCTGATGATGAGTGATGTTGAGCATTTTTTCATATGTTTGTGGCCATTTGTATATATGTTTTTTTGAGTTGGAGTCTCACTCTGTTGCCCAGACTGGAGTGCAGTGGCCGCTTCCGGCCACCGCAGCCTTGACCTGCTGGGCTCTGGCAATCCTTCCGCCTCAGCATTCCAAGTAGCTGGAACTACAGGCGCACACGCTACCACGCCTGGCTAATTTTTTTTTTAATTTATTGTAGAGATGAGGTCTCGCCAAGGTGCCCAGGTATATCTTTTTTTGAGAGATGTCTGTTTATGACATTTGCCCATTTTTTAATAGGGTCATTTGCATTTTTTCTTGCTGATCTGTTTGAGTTCTTTGTAGATTCTGGATATTAGTCCTTTGTCAGATGGTAGTTTAAGAGCATGATGGTGGGTAAGGCAGTTTCCTGTGAGGCACTGGAGTCCCACAAGGCTCAGGGGGCCCTCCAAGTTCATGGCAGGAGCTAAGAATTCCTGAATTTCCCTCTACTTACCTTCCCTACTATGTCTGTGCTCTGTGCCATGATGCAGGTAAGTCTGGCCAGTTCCAACTCAGGTTGACTGATTTTTCTCCTCTTTGAATTATATGGCTGTTATCACTTCTTTGATGAGTCATGGGGCACACTGTGGGTCCCACTCCCTTCTGGGTGCTGAAGAGGCTTTCTTTCTTGGTTTACTCCGTAGGAGAAATACTCTCTAGCTGCCTTTAATCAACCATCTTAATCTCAGTCTGTTCTTTAACCACAGTGCTCAGAGAAAGGGAGCTAACATTTTGTGAGGGCCTAATATGTCCCAAGCACGTGTTAAACTCTTGAAATCATGGAGAACAAAGTGCAGAAAGAGTTGACGGGTAGACCAAATCTGGGCCTTGCTGGAAGTACAGTGTAGAAGCAAGATAGGTGGGAGCTATGATAGGAGAAGAACTTTCTGGGCACAAGCAGCACAGACAGTGGAGGCCAGAGTGCATGATCAACATCGGCCCACCTCCTATTTATTGCCACTTTAAAATTCACCACCAGAAATTCTGTGTCAGATTATAGTGATTCATATCATAAAATTGACTATAAAGATTAAATTGTAAGATTAATTTTATAGGCCAGAAAGGCTTTTGAGGGCTGTGGTATTATAGAAAGGAGTGTGTGAGAGTGTGTGTGTGTGTGTGTGTGTGTGTGTGTGTGTGTGTGTGTGTGTGTGTTGGGGTGGGGGGTTAAACTTGGAAAGACTATATGGAATGTTAAATTATATTTTAATAGAATCGTCAACCCTGATTGATTATAGGTTACCAGCATTAAAGTGCCTGAAGTGATTAGGATATTCTCTCTTACTATCTTACCAACCTCCTTTGGTAGATGTTAGTTTGTAGGTACTTACAGATGCTCAAAAGTGATTCTGGGTCTGCTCTCTTCCTGAATCCTTACTTCTCAAACATTCAGGAAACTGTCAAGTTCTTGCTCTTCTTTCTGTCACTAGTTCACCAGATGTGTGGGTGAAAATAGCCTGGATTGGTACACCAGATACCTAGATACCTGGACAGATTCCCATCACTGAAAAAACATAAAATGAGTCATTGAGCTAGCAAGTAAATAAAGAAGTCTGAAATTAAATGACAATGATAATAATAATATAATGAGAGCAGGAACTTAGAAAAGAACAAATTGAATTTTGCCAACCCTTTTGAGCTCAGGCTCTGGTTCTCACCCTGCAGGACACAAGAGGACAGCAGACAAAACCTAAGGGCCTACAATAGGTGTGACATCTACTAAGAAACCCCTCCTAAATGCCAGGACAAACTAAGAATGTACCAGTATTTCTTAGTCCTTTGCTGATAGACCAGCCAAAATAAAACAAAAAAGAACTCTTTTGAACAACAGTGCCAAATTATGAGGACAAAACTGACCTTGACAAGCTGGTTCCCTTATGAGGTTTAGCACACATTCATGTTAACTGGCATAGTAGTAATAATCCTCAAGTTGGGAATTTAACTATAAAGTGATTGCCATCAGGTAGTGACCTCAGATCTCTGCCAGAGACAAACACAAATCCTCTTAAGATGAACGCACCTTTTAGCAAGGCTCCAAATAATTTTGACAGATAACATTCCAAGACATAATGAGCTTGTAGTTCAAAACACTGACAAAATGCATAAGGAAACAAGGCAACATGATATGTTTTAAAATATGTGATTTTTAAAATTACATTTTATCTGTCAGTGCTTATCTACAATGAAAAAATTTTTAAATGAGATTATATTTTAAAGCATGTAATATTTTTGCTTTGAGATAGGGTTTCGCTCTGTTGCTCAGACTGGGTGCAGTGGCACTACCATGGCTCACTGCAATCTTTTTTTTTTTTTGAGTTGGAGTCTCACTCCTTCACCCAGGCTAGAGTGCAGTGGCACACATGCTCATGGCCACCCCAGAGTCGACCTGCTAGGCTCCGGCGATCTTTCCGCCTCAGCCTTCCGCGTAACTGGAACTACAGACACACACTACCACACCTGGCTATTTTTTATTTTATTGTAGATACGAGGTCTTGCCAAGTTGCCTGGGCTCAGGCAATCCACTCACCTCAGCCTCCCAAAGTGTGCTGGGATTACAGGCTGAGCCACTGAGCCCAGCCCTCACTGCAGTCTTAAATTCCCAGGCTCATGTGATCCTCCTACCTCAACTTCCAAAGTAGCTGGGACTACAAGTGCCTGCCATTACGCCTGGCTAATTTATTTTACATTGCCCCAGGCTGGTCTTGAATTCTTGATCATCCCACCTCAGCCTCCCAAAATGCTGAGATTATAGATGTGAGTCACCATTGCACATGGCCTAAAACATGTAATGATTTTAAATATCAAAAAGCATCAAGCAGATTTCTTAAATTTCTGCAATTAACTTAAATATATATGTATACATATGTACTAAATATATAATATATATTTTATGTATCTCCCAAATGGGCTTAGCAGCATTACAGAATAAATGAATTGGGAAGTAGATTTGAAGAAAGTATAAGAATGTTGGCTGGATCTACAACAAACCCACAGCTAACATATTGCTAAATGGACAGAAACTAGAATCATTTCCCCTGAAAACTGGAACAAGACAAAGCTGCCCACTCTCACCCCTCTTGTTCAGTATTGTGTTGGAAGTCCTAGATTAGACAATTAGACAAGAGAAGGAAATCAGGGGTATCCAAATAGGAAAAGAGGAAGTCAAGTTATCCCTCTTTGCTGATGATATGATCCTATACCTTGAAAACCCAAGAGAATCTGTCAAAAACCTGCTTGCACTGATAAAGGACTTTGGCAGAGTCTTAGGATACAAAATAAATGTACAAAAGACAGTTGCATTCCTATACACCAACAACAAGCAGGCAGAGATCCAAATGAAAAACACAACCCCATTCACAATAGCGACCAAAAAATGAAATACCTCGGCATCTTCCTAACCAGAGAAGTGAAAGACCTTTACAATGAGAATTACAAAACACTGCTTAAAGAAGTCCAAGAAGACATAAACAAATGGAAAAATATCCCATGCTCATGGATAGGCAGAATCAACATTGTTAAGATGTCCATCCTACCAAAGGCAAACTACAGATTCAATGCAATACCCATTAAGTTACCAACATCATTCTTCTCAGACCTGGAAATGGCAATACAGAAATTCATATGGAAACTTAAACGACCATGAATAGCCAAAACAATACTTAGCAAAAGAAACAAAGCAGGAGGTACTACACTTCCAGCCTTCAAACTATACTATAAGTCTACAGTAATCAAAACAGCCTGGTATGGACTAATGGAACAGGATAGAGATTCCAGAAGCAAAGCCTCAATTTCTCAACCAAGTCATCTTTGACAAAACCTCCAACAACAACCACTGGGAAAAGGAGAACCTATTCAGTAAATGGTGCTGGGAAAACTGACTTATCACATGCAGAAGATTGAAACAGACCCCTACCTATCACCATACACAAAAATTAACTCTAAATGGATCAAAGACCTAAACATAAAATCTCAAACTATAAGAATCTTAGAAAACGCAGGAGACACCCTTATGGATTGGAGCTGGGAACCAATTCCTATTCAGAACCCTAAAGGCCAATACCTT